AGATTTATTAGAATAGAAGATATCAACTTTGTTTTCCAGCTGATTCTATCAAATTCTTCACAGAAATATCAACTCAAATATTTTAAAGACATCCTGTAGAATAACTAACCTGATGAAGGTTAGAAAGAGATCTAGAACCTTCTACCAGTGCTGACCAAATTCTCCCTGAACTAAAACTGGTTCTTAACTCAGTTCAAGCAGGTTCAGATCAACTGATGCATGTCCATAGTTCTCTACCTAAATATTCTGAACCCAGTTCACAGCTCGTACTGGAACTAATTATCCTTTTTTATCTTCATGTGCTGAAATAAAGTCCAAATATAAGCAGGTAATGATGTCCTTCAGTAATCAGTGTCTGGATAATCCAACAGCCCAGTGGTTGCCAGTCCACGGTCTAATTTAGAAAACATTGGTAGGATCCAGACTAAAAGTTTACGTACGGCAAATGCCTGAAAATGGAGCAGGACAAAAAAATTCTAAAACTCTGTGAACAAAACCAAGCAGTTTTCCTTTCTAGATCCCAGCTGCAGCTCAAAGTTTGTGTCCAAGGCTCCACCTCATGTTCAGGCTTCTTCAAGCCTCCATCCAAGCAGAAATTGTCCATCAAAGCACAGCATGAATGTCATTGTGTCTTAAATGAGCTAGCTGATCAATGTTACTTCATGGTTCTCTCGGCTGCATCTCCGTTCACAAACCAAGAAGAAATCCCTCAGAGGAACCTGAGAGCTTTAAGGTTGGAGCCTTCAGTTCATGTCATGACATAGAAAGCAAAGCTGAAGACGGCAGAGTCACGTTTAAAGGCCTAAATGACTGATGGAGTTTCTCACAGAGCAGAACTGGGTCTCTGCTGCCCGATGGCAGCGACAGCAGAACCTGAGCGCCTAAAGAGAAATGCTGCTGCTCTTTCTCTAGGAAATTTACTAAAGTTTACCCCCAAAAAACAGGACGATATTTAGTTCACCTTAAACAGAACAATGTTAAATGACGTCAAGATGAGCTTCATTCACTTGATGTTCCTCACTTCAAAAACTGCATTGTTCAGTTCAAAGTTCTGAGAAATGTGAGTTCAGCTCAGAAATACATCCATGGATTAAACTAAATGACACATCAGGGTGTTTGATTTCTTCTACCTTCCTCTTTATCAGCAGTTTTTTCTTCTTTCTAATCAAACCATTTGGCCATAAAAACAAGGGAGGAATTCTCTGGAAGAATCTCCAGATGGGCAGGGACATTAAAGCCTAACAATGCCTCCACCTTCCAGTCCAGATCCAAACCAGATAACAGGATATTATGACCCACTCTATCAAAGGCTGCTTTCACTGGTCAGAAATATCAGCACTAAACTAAAACATGGTGACTGACCTCAATGTCTGTAGTTTGCAGAGGGGAGACTGGAGAAAACCACAGAGCTGCTTCACTCCACCATCTTTCAGGTCGTTGTTACTGCTCAGGTCCAGTTCTGTCAGATGGGAGGGGTTGGACTTCAGAGCAGAGCCCAGAGAAGCACAGCTGATCTCTGATATACAGCAGTAATTCAATCTGAATAAAGAATAAAAGACGTGTTGAAGCAACTGGAGAGACAGGTTAAAACTAAAATCATGAATAAATAATGAATAAAAATATTTGACTGAAAGCTAAAGTCCCATAAAAATGATCAAGTTAAAGTATTAAACCAAGCAGAAGAGGTTTAATACTTTAA